TTTACAGCGGGTAAAACCTGGACAAAACCCAAATGCCCCAAAACAGATGACTGGATCAAGAAGAGATGGTATATATACACAATGGAATATTATTCAGCAATGAAAAAGATAAACTTATGTCATTCACAGCAATGTGGATAGAGCTAGAAGGAATTATGCTCAGTGAAATAAGCTGGAAGGAAAAAAAAATATATCAGATGGTTTCACTTATAGCAAGAATATAGGGGAACCTGATAAGACATCAGTGTAAAAAAATAACTATAGTACAAAACCCAACAAAGCAAAAACAGACAATTATAAATCAGAGGCACACTGTAGGGGAGGAGGGAGACGGATCAGAGGAGGGTGGGCAGAGCACAGGGCACTGAGGTGATCATGCATGGGTGCATTGATGAAGGAAACTGTGGGGACTCAATCTGAGGGGAGAGGGAGTAGCAAATATTGTCTAAAAAATGATAAATGTTAAAATAAAAAAAAGAAATTTCCCAAAAATAGGCATATATTTACTAAATCTATTCCAACCTTAAAAAAAAAAAAGATAAAATAAAAATTAAAATATATATATATATATATATATATATATATATATATATATTTAGGGTCTGGATTCTAAGAACTAGGGAAACAAAAGCAATAAAAACAACTGGGATGGGCCTCCCTGGTGGCCCAGGGGTTAAATCTCAGTGATAGCACTGCATAGCCTAAGCCACATGGCACAGCATACCTTTCCTGTTTTGCCCACTGCTCCCCTCAGCAGTGTTATTTCAGTAAATCTGCCTGTTCTGCTCCCCACTCTAGATAATGCTCTCACCCCCACACCTCTGGTCTATACCCCAGTTCTTCTATGCAAAAATAAAAAAAGAGAGAGAAAGAGAGAAACAACTGGGATTACATCAAACTAAAAAGCTTCTGGACAATGAAAGAAACTATCATTAAAATAAAAAGACACTTCCACAGAGGAGAATATATTAGCCCATCATACATCTGACAAGAGGCAAATATGTAAAATCTACAAAGAAATGCAAATTAAAACCACAATGAGATAGCCCCCACCACATGCGAGAATGGGCCATATCAGAAGACAAGAAACAAGTGTTGGCCAAGGTGTAGGAAAAAAGGAACTCTTGTTAATGCTGGTGGGAATGCAAACTGATCCAGCAGCCCCTATGAAGACAAAATGAATTTTAATTGAAATATTAAAAACAGATCTGCCAAGGGTTCCAGCAATTCCAAATACAAAACCAAAAATTTGAAGTGATATATGTACTCCCATGTTCATTGCAGCACTATTTACAATAGCAATGTCATAGAACAACCTAAATGCCCCATGACAGATGAGTGGATTAGGAAGATGCAATATGTATACTTCATCTACTCACGTATAAAAAAAGATGAAATCTTGCCATTTGCAACAATGTGGAAAGAACTGGAAGGGATGATGCTAAGCAAAATCAGTCATAAGGAAAAAGACAAATACTGGATGATTTCACTCATTTGTAGAATATAGAGAAACAAATGAACATTCAAAAATAAGCCAAAACAAACCAAGAAATCTGACTGTAGAAACTCCACAGGGGAAAAGTCAGAGGTAGGAACCAAAGTGGGGAGGTGGTCCAAATTACTATGATAGAAAATTACAGAGTTTTTTGGTGATGGGTGTGTGTTGGTAACATACATCTGAAGAGATCTGAAGCTATACCTCAAAACCATGCACAGTGTTGCAAACCAACGATTTCTTAACAAAAATTAAACAACAAAATAAAACGGAAAAACTGAAGGATCAGAACTAAGTTCATGTGTTTGGTATACCAACAGGATCATATTCAGTAAAATCTTAATTATTGCTCTCCTAATACTCAGAGACGACTCCATTTCAACCTAAACACCACTGGAAATAAAGCTTTTTGTAAGAATATTTTGTATATCAAAACGATAATTCTCTGGACTTGCTATCAGACTAGAAGGGATTTTCAAATAATGGCAAAGACACCTATTATATGAAAAATAACTGACGAAGCAATTACAATGAGAATTTTATGATGTCCAGTGCCTCCAAGTGACAGATCTATAAATTTACTCCTCCTTTATTGCCTAAACATTCTGGTATTCTAGGTACTGTGTTAAAATCTCAATATACAGAAATGTATACAACATAATTCTATGCCAAAGAACCTAAAGTTAGAAAAGAAATACTCACTGACTTAGACTAGAATCAAGCAATCAAGCAATCAAGGAGAAAATAATACCATGGAACAAAAAGAATCTACAAAAAATAAATAGAAAACACACACTGATGTTGGGGTTTACACTGCCTTTAGCAAAGAATGATTTCTACTGCAAGCATTTTTAAAAAGAAGGTTAAAAAAAAAAAAAGGCAGCTTTAATAAGCTATCACTTTATGGCACTTATCATCATGTTATTAAAACATTAGAAATTTTTGTAAAAAAAATATTATAAATAGGAAAGTCCCTCATGAAAATCAGATATGAATACTCATTTAATATTTTATCTGTAAAGGTAATTTAAAATATAAATATTTTAATCAAATAAAGTAATGAAGTCTGATTAAAGTAATTAACAGTAACTAGTAAAGTAGATCTCTCAAACTGTATAGTGAGTAATGAGATATTCATTTAGTTACATATTATGAATAGAGATATTTCACAAAATCTGGCTATAATCTTTTTAATCCTAAAGAAGTTAAGTAGAATCTTTCTCAAGTGACTAAATAATACAGATAAGGATGAGGCAAGTGGAGAACTCCTATGTAAATGTAAAAACTATTAATTCTATCTACAGAATAAAAATTCCTGAGAACAGTTCAGTAACATATATTTACTGTCAAAATAAGACCTAGGACTATGGCAAGCAATTCTGCCAATATTAAATCCCATTCCAACTCCATTCCTTCCTGCAAGTTGTTTTTAGGATCACAACAGGCCACCTGAGAAGACCTACACCACAGCAGATAGTATTAGACTCCAGTGACACTTTCACTATCATTAACAGGGGTTCAATGTTTTAAGTTATCTCTCCCTTTTTCTTTAGATTCAGCTTTATTTATAAGTATCTGAGTAAACTGATTATATTGATTGTGACGCAAAACATTGTGTGGGGAAGATATTTACAAATGAAGTTACTAGCATTACACTTCTTCAGTTGATTAGGGTAAAGTACATGTAGTTTACTATTTTTCACCTTCTTTTGTTTGTTAATTATTATTTTCCTAGTAAAAGTAGGAAATTTTTTAAATCATTTTATTATTGAATAAATTATGTTTAAAAAGGAACACAGTTGTTAAAACACAGGCATTTTTATAAGGGTGGAAGGAAGGAATAATGTAAATTAACAAACTATTAACATAAAGCTATTTGACTCATATATGGGTAGAAATGTGTTCATCCACCAAGTATTCTTTTTTTTTTTTTTTTTTTTTAAGATTTATTTATTTATTTATACAAAGCACTGGGTACAGTCAGAAGCGCGGGAGGGTGAGAGAATTCACCAGAGCCAGAGCAGGGAACAGAACAGGCAGACTGACGAAACACACTGCTGAGGGGGGCAGCAGGCACGGCAGGAGAGGTCTGCTCACCATGTGGGACCCTCTCCGGTGACCGGGGATCAAACTGGCGCTGCAGAGGCTGCGGGCAGCTTCGCAGCCCAGTGTTCAACCACTGAGCCACCAGGGGAGGCCCCCACCAAGTATTCTTGAACATGTTCCTTCAGTACAATCTTTTCAACATGACTGATTCTTAAATGCATTAATAATTGCTATAAATTACTTTGTAGCAATATAGAGAAAAGTAGAAAAAAAAATAATGATTTTAAATGACTGAGATAATTTGCATTTTAATTTCTACATAAAGTCATATCTAGTTGTTTATCACTACTGACTTAAAGGTTCAATTCTGGAAACACCACATAATATATTTGCCTGGAGGCCTAGGAGGGGATAATGCAAGGTAAGCCTAGAAAGGAAAACCAGAGGACTATTTAGTAAAGTGATAAAATTTTGCAAAAAATATTATTTTTTACTATTTATTATGGTGATGACAATCCAAAAACTGCTAATTTTTTTAATGTCATAAAACATTTGGACCTAGAGAAAAATGACAGATGAAAGTCCATAGAGGTAAATAAGATCTGAAAAATAAAGTCATCTTTGAACACTGTGGATAAACACCTAGATTTAGAAATACTTCTAAAAGCACTGAGTGAAATGAACACAAAGCTAACAAAAGACTCTAATAATATTGTTTATTCCCTAATCTGATTAAATTTAATTATAAATCCTGAAGAGTTTCATAAATTAGTGTATTCAGCAAATATTTACTAGTCACCTGCCAAGTGTCTCATAATGAATTTGGTACTAAACCTATAGAAGCTAAAACATTATTTTTTCTCTCACAGAGTTTACAGAGATTTTCAAGGTATTTCATAGTGATATATAAAACAAGATCTGGAATGTTCTCCCTTTACTTGTCTGGCAGTCTGAGCAATCTGATTTCACTGCAGGGCTAAGATGAAGTATCCTCTCCTATCTGAATGCTTTCCTAATTTTCTCCAAGGTAGATCAGTTTTTCTTTTCTATATTACTTACCTAATACATTCCTAGACTGTATCAAAAAGATCCCGCTACTAAGCCATAGCACAAGATCCCCAATACCTGAAAATTCTCAGAACCAATAGTAATTATTCATATCCTAGTCAATATGTTTGTTTCCAATATTACTAAAATTGTCACTCATGAAACTGACGGTATCTTCCTCTTTGTATTGTCTGCTAAAAACTTAAGAGTAAATTTTGTAGATAAGTAAGACTTAAGTAAACTTGCTTCTGTTTTTTTTGTCTTCACCATCTCATTTTCCTCTTGTCTTCTCTCTTTTCTTATTTTAAATAGAATGAATTGTATAGTTTCTTAAATCCTTCGTGAAAGAACGGAGAATTAGAACTAGCTAACTAAACAATAACCAAAACAAATGGAAAGAAGTAAACATTACCTTTATATCAAAATTACAATCAAGTCTTCTAATTAATACGATGAAAGTGCCAGATGAATTGTCTTTTAGTGGTGGAGGCACGATGGGTTCACAGGCATTCTCTGGTTTTGAGTTAATCAAAAAACCCTGAAAAATAATTGGGAATAAGTCTTTTCTCTGATTCATTCAACAAATCAATTCAATTTCTATAAACATCTCTTGCATTTGTTTCATGTGCTTTGCATTATGATATATGAATTATCTGGCAATCACAACAGTTCCTACCATTTAATTGCTAACAATCCCAGAACTTTTAATGACTTATAATATAGGTTTAGGCTTCATAAGCATCTAATTTTTTAAAGTTCTGTAACTTTTATTATTAAAGGTTTGCTTTTTTTTTTAATCATACACAAGCTCATCACCCAAAAGACAACCACCATTAAGCACGTTGGTATCTCTCCCAGCAATGACTCACATTTCTAAACCAATCAAATACATTTTAAAGTAACTTTCACCTCTCTTTCATATTATCAAACAACAAAAATGGATAACATTCAAGGAATTTATTCCACAGAAACACTAGCCTGAATATATAAAAGTATGTTTCCTGTTTCAAAGCAAAAACTGAAAACCATGTACAGCAATAAGGCAGTCATTTAAAAATTATAGTATATTCACACAATAGATAACAGAGTCATTTAAGAAATGAAAATCTACACACACTAAATTAAGAAGATGTTCCCAACATAACAATTAATTTACAAAAAAAATAGCAGTTTTTGAAGAAGCAACGGTGGTCACTCCTGTTAACCAAAATGGTGCTATGGTGCTGTTTGGTCATTCTGTGGTTGCCTAACATTAACATCTCTGTTCTTGCATGATATAGAGTTCTTTCTATTGCTTTGTTCCATCAGAGTTGTTGGTAGTCCTTGTCTGATGCTGGTATCCTGTGAAATAATTTTTTCCCAGCAAACAACATGTTCTAACTGGAATCAAAGGCAGCTACCAGGTGCTCACTGTCAGAATTGCTTTATTTTGTTCTGAAACAGCTTTATTCTGATAAAATTGACGCACAAAGTATGCATATTTAAAGTATACAATTTGATAAATTTGGACATGTATACATCCTTGAAACCATTGCCACAAGAAAGATAGTGAATATACCTATTACCCCCAAAGATCCATTGTGTCTCTTTGTAATTACTCCCTACCCCCATCTCTCCACTATTCCTTAAGCAACTACTAATTTGTTACTATAGAATAGTTTTAATTTTCAAGAGTTTCATAAGTCGAACCATACAATATGTATTCTTGTATGCTGGGCTTCTTTCAGTGAACATAATTACTTTGAGATTCTCTCATGTGTATGTAAGTAATAAATTTGGTGAATAGTAATTCACTGAATGGACATACCACCATTTATTTATCTATTCATCTGTTGGCTGACATTTTCATTATCCCTAGTTTTTAGCTATTATAAAAAAGTTTTCTGTAAACATTCTTGTATTTAAAAAGAAAAAAACAGCAAGTTACTTTCCCAGAAATGCAGGATGGTTTGGCATCAAAAAATGTATTAACATATAATGTTATACTAGATTAAAACAGAAAAGCCAAATGACCATGTTAAAGTTACAAAACACTAAATAAATACATAACAAGATTATCAAATTCAGTAAATTCTTGATAAGAAGAAATGAGCAACGAAAGCTATGACAGTGCCTTAACAATAGTCTTGCATGGTATAGGAATTGGTCACACCAACCACCTATTCTACAGGATTTGACAATTTCTCCCTGACTTAAACTGCATTGCTTAGTTTGTAATAAGAGAATGCTTTTACACATGATTCAGGAATAAAATACAGCATACCTTTATTTATCATAGAATAGCCCCACTTCTTAATTCCATAAAACACCTGATTTTTATTTTGCAGGGAAATAAAATTCTGGTTATACTTCCTCCAATAATGAATATGTGCATTATTCATGTAACATTTATATCCTGCTTCCTTTTCTCTACCTCTATGCACATAAAGGTAGACTCTTTGCTTTAATGCCCAATGACACAGTGTGATTCTTTTCAAGACATTTACAAAGTAATTAAACTCAACACATGTAATACAAACAAGGCATGTAATTCATGTAATACAGCTGAAATGAAGACAATATGATAAGCATCTTGGTAATTTCTAGTTAATGATTACAAATTGTACTATTATAAAAATTCTAGTATAATTCTTTTTTATAATTACATGCTCACATGTATGTTAAGTACATACACAGCAATCACAGCCCATCAACCTGTAGTAAGAATGCCAACTAGCTTTCCAAAGTGGATTGGATTACCACTTTAACTAGAATAGTCACATAATATAAACCCAAAAAATCATACTGAAAATAATTTTACCATAGTGCTCTAGAAGGTACATAAGTAAGTGCTATAGAAATATTAGTTGTATTGACACTAGTTATTAACATTAGTTAACAAAGTCATACAGAGATAAATTCAAAAAGGTTGTTTTGTTCAAAAGATCATTTCATTTTTTTTAAATAAATTTTATTTTTATATTACCCATACAATTGCAATCCCCTTATTTTGACCCCAATCCCTCCCCTCCCCACCCCCCACCCCCCATAGAGTGTCTCTTGTTCATAGTTGTTTGTTGATTTTGATATTTTCTTTCTTATAGTTATTCTTTTTCCTGGTCCCTTATTTAAGTTTTCTAGATTCCTGCTATGAGTGAGACCATCCGGTATTTTTCTTTTTCTTTCTGGCTTATTTCGCTGAGCATTATCCCTTCCAGCGCCATCCATGTTGCTGCAAATTGCATGTGTTTATCTTTTTTGAATGCTGAGTAATATTCCATGGTGTATATGTACCACATCTTCTTGATCCAGTCATCTATTTTTGGGCATTTGGGTTGTTTCCAAAGCTTAGCTATTGTAAACAGTGCTGCTATAAACACAGGGGTGCAGGTGCTCTTTGGAATTGATGTTTCTGTGTCCTTTGGGTAAATACCTAGGAGTGGAATTGCTAGATCATATGGAAGCTCTATATTTTAGTAGGTCCAGAAATCTACACACAGCTCTCCATGGTGGTTGGACCAGTTTGCACTCCCACCAACAGTGCAGGAGAGTTCCTTTTTCTCCACATCCTCGCCAACATTTGTTGTTGCTAGTTTTTTTAATATGTGCCATTCTCACTGGTGTAAAATGGTATCTCATGGTAGGTTTGATTTGCATTTCCCTGATTACAAGTGATGTTGAACATTTTTTTATATGTCTGTTGGCCATTTGCATTTCCTCTTCAGAGAAGTTTCTTTTTAGTTCCTCTGCCCATTTTTTGACTGGATTATTTTCTTTGTTTGTGCAGAGTCTCATCAGCTCTTTGCAGATTTTTGTGACCAGTCCTTTATCATTAGTGTTGTGTGCAAAAATGTTCTCCCAGTCAGTGGGGTTTCTCTTTGTTTTTGTTATTGTCTCTTCAAAAGATCATTTCAGATTGAAAAGAGCCTTAGTCTTTCCTTCCCTTCAGCTTGTACTGAAAAGCAAACTGTAAAATTAAAAGGAATATATGCAGTGACAGTATCAACAAAAAAAAGCTGAAAGGAAAGGCGAAAGTGACTTCTTCCCTTGGTAAGAGTTTAAAAGTACAAGCAGAAGAAACGGAGAGAAAGTAGTTAGAAGTTATGAATTAATAATTATAGTAACAGTAAGTACAGTTTATTGAATCATGACATTCAGCACTATTTATCATGCACTTTGCCCTTTGAATGTATCAATTCAATTAATCTTCGCAACAATGCTATAATATAACTACTATTATCATCCCCATTTTACAAATGAGGAAACTAGGTCTCAAAAAAGGCAGGTAACTTGTCAGGTTTCATATCACAAGATGGAATCCCAGGAAGTCTGACCTCAGAGTCCATGTTCTCAACCACTAAGCATACTGCCTCCTCAAAAAAATAAAAAAGGTTGAAGAAAAAAATGAGCAACAAGAAGAGGAATGGATATGTACCAAAATGGACAAATCCAAATGTTAGTCTAAAGGGCTATTAAGGCTGACTCCAAAATATAATACAATTGCTATAAATGTTGATAATGTCACCAGAAACTTGTAATTTTTATGGTCACACATAAAACAAAAAGAGTTAAACCGATCAATCAGATTTTATTAGCTAAGGTTTTCGAATGTAAAATTAGTGGATTTATATGAGCAACTAGAATATTAAACATAATCACCGTCTTTTTCTCTAATTCTATTATTAGATCATTATTCCGAAATTTATCAGTAACTTTTGCATGCAAGCATATTTAGTTTCTCTTCCACAAATAGTTGGAGATTAGTCTCCACTTGCAGTAAAACATCCTTTAACCATTACATATATATTAATTCACTTTAACACTACCCTGTGAATACAATGGTCTCATTTCATGTGAGCTTTTTAAGCACTAAAATGAATGACTAGGGTCTCGCTGGTGGCGCAGGCGGCTCAGCACCACACTGTGAAGCTGTCTGCAGCCTCTGCAGCGCGGGTTCGACCCCAGCCGGCTGGCAAGGATCCTACATGGTGCGGCAAACCTCTCCTGTCTCTCCCGCTGCTCCCCTCAGCAGTGTGTTTCAGTCAGTCTGCCTGTTCTGTTCCCCACTCTGTCTCTAGTGAATCCTCTCATCCTTCCGCACATCTGGCCTGTACCCCAGCACTTGTATAAATAAAAAATAAATCTTTAAAAAAATATGAATAAGACTGAGTCCCTACGCAATTAATTAATATCAGGAAAGAAATAATAGACCCAATAACAAAAACAAAGTATAAACAACATGGAGTGTAAATGCATAGGAGCAATTCATTCTAATTATGGGAGGCTGTATCAGAAAAAGGGGTATTTGACTTGGTTCTTAACTTTTATTATAGTTCAGTTTGGTGACAAAATTGAACATAAAATAGCATGATTTGACCAATTTAATTGATAGAAACTATCACTCTATAATCTGCCCTAAACATTATACTTTATTGATGCATCTTAAAACTGAATTACATCTCTGGCAAATACACCACAGTTGTTTCAATAAGTTTTTGACATATGATGTTACTAAGCTATATTTCTTCTCTTCAATACCTATTTTTCAAGATTCAAGGA